CAATTTGAAATGGAGAAGGAAGCGAGGGAACACTCATTTGGAGGTGTTTGTTGGATAATATTAAGACATTGGGAGAAAGTAAAAAGGAGAAACGGAAAAGAAAATCGTGGTTTGTAAAATAGAGGAAAAGAAAATGAAAGTAGATTAATTAAACTTTACAGAACTTGGAAGTGACTTCCCTGTTGATTTTTAGTTTTTAATTATCAAAAATATTAAAATATTAAAATTGTGTGCATGAAAAAAGATGCTTTAGTGTGTGAGAAATTACGGGGTTGCGACTCCTTTACTCCTAAAAACCCCACCATCACTCCCACACACCCCTCAGACACACCAAACGGATCTCCCGTCAAAACGGTGCGTTCCCTTTCTTTAAAACAAACACCAACTACTCTTTCTCTCTCTCACTTTCTCCTACTAAAACACATTTTGCAGCCAGAGGAGTTGACCAATTCTCTCAACAGGATAAGCGCCACGCTGACTAGAAAATCGGTGAGTCTGAACTCTGCGTTCCGGTGAGTAATTAGCTTGACTGCTGGATGATGGAATAAATAGATAATTGTGATGATTCGAGTTAGTATAAATTAAATTCGTTTGTTGTTTTTGAAATTGAATTTTTTCTTCTCGTGATTTTGTGACAGTACGATGATATGACAGAACTACAATGGCTCTCGAACTTTGTTGAGGACTCGCTCTCCACCGAGGAGGAGTTGAAAGCGCTGCAGCTACGCGTCCACCGCCTTTGGCGCGAAACCGCAGACGCTAGAGTCCTCGTCCTCCACTGACACGCTGTCGTGGTTCGCTTTCGATGAAACCGCTCGAAACGCACTGTTTCTTCACACGGATGTCGACATCCGTTTTACCCTTCAATGGGATGTTCACGTCCGTTGACGGCTGTTCATGTCCATTGACAAACGTTCACATCCGTTTCCTGGAAGGCAAAACAGGAACGAGGAGGTGCCGGAAGCAGTCCGTGGTGGTATACGGAGCAACTGTCACAAGAAGTTGTCGGGTTCCACTTAAATCATATCCGAATCCATAGAAATTGTATCCGATTACACGTAAAGGTGTATCCAGATCCAGTACCAAAAGCAATTCCACACAGCTTATATTTAGATCCAATGCTAATGTATTCGGTTCCACCTTCATTTTGTAAAAATGAAGTTTTTTATCTATTCGTTTTATTGTATATAATTTGTATTATGTTTCTTTTCAATTCTCACTTAATATTTTCTACCAAATTTTGAAATACGCGTCATTTTATTGTTGCTCTTTCCAATTGAGGTTTGGATTTTGAAAGTCAGCAAATTTAGAAAATTTAAAATTTGAATTAGTTTGTCTTGAAGGTAGTCCTAAAAACTAATTTAACCTTTGTCTTTCTTTGCATGTGGTTTGTTTTTCTTCCAAGTAATTAGTTAGATGATGAAAGTAATGTCTCAAACTGTGGCGGGCTCTTCCGCAAATTTGGCAATACTATTTTGTATCACTTTCTCAATCATAGCAAGTAATTGGGTTTCTATCTGTTTTTTTCTTATAGCTATGACAATCAAATTGATTAGGTATGATTTAAACCAACAAAAAAATTTTACCACTTGCCACTGAATTATATTAAAAAAATATTATATTTTAAACATAATTATTTCACTTTACTTAAATATAATTTTTGTTTTCATTTTAAAAAATAATTTTTATTTGTTTTTCTCCTTATAATAATTTGTATCACTAAATATATTATTAATAATTACTATTTTATATTATTTTTAATATTATATTTTAATAATTTTTAATTTCTATTAATTAAACAATTTTGTATCTATTACATCACTTAAATTTTACACTAAATTTTACATATTTCACTTTCAATTCACTCTCGTTCACCTCCAAAATCCCTTAAAAAAACATCAATCAATAAATCGCTTCAAATTCATTCATATTCTCACTCTTCCCATCCTCCAATGTGAACACACCCTTAGTCCATTCATTTCATTTTGTTTTACATTTCTCTTTAATTAAAATAATTTTGTTTTACATTTCTCTTTAATTAAAATAATTTTATTTCTCACTTATTTTTATTGTGACATTTTATTTCTTTCTGAACTACTTCGTTCCTCTCTACCAGAGTAACATAATTAATGAAAGTCTAAAATTTCAACGTGCGTATATATATAAGGTTTAATCATTCACTAAGTCCCTATTTTCGCATGGAATCTCAATTTCGTCCCTTTCTTTCTGAGAATATCAATTGGGTCCCAATTTTATGAAAATTGCAACAAATCGATCCTTTCCGTTAAATAGTGTCAAACGGCGTTAAAAAAATTTGAGTGGATGCTGAGATGACGAACGAACGCTCGTCCACCAGCGTTCACCAGCGAACGAACTCTCGTCCACCAGCGAACGAACGCTCGTCCACCAGCGAACGAACGCTCGTCGACCACCGAACGAACGGTCGTCCAGTGTGGAACGAACGGTCGTCCAGTGTGGAACGTTCGTTCGTTGGTGGACGAGCGTTCGTTCGCTGGTGAACGAGCGTTCGTTCGCTGGTGGACGAGCGTTCGTTCGTCATCACAGCATCCACTCATCAATTTTTTTAACGCCGTCCAGCCAATTTAACGGAAAGGATCGATTTGTTGCAATTTTCATAAAATTGGGACCCAATTGATATTTTCAGAAAGAAAGGGACGAAATTGAGATTCCATGCGAAAATAGGGACTTAGTGAATGATTAAACCTTA